CCAACACTCGACTAGGTTGTGGAGAAGCTCATAGCTGCGACAGCTTAGGCAGTCGACCAGTTCACGCCCGACACTCGCCCAGCCCTATACTCCAAGCGGTGGTTCACACCAGATCTTAAGGTTTAATAAGTTAAAGTCAATCAACTACGTAGAAGATGGCAGGCGAGCTACGCGGAGCTTAGACGAGACCATACTAGCACCACTACTGCCTTTTAGACCATGTAAACTAAGCGCCGAGCATAGACTCAAACAATCGAAAAGGCTAAAGCGTCATATTAGAAACAATTTTTAGATAAGGCGGGCGAAGGGAAGCTCTGGAAAGCTGCGACCTACATGAAGCCTCGAGAAACATAGGGGTGCACCCCGGCCCTAAAGGTGGGCTCATAAGAGCTCACCCAGAACAAAGACAAAGCAAGGGCCTTTCTTAAAGCGTTCTTTCCCGTAATGAACACACCCGATCTCAGCCTACCAGCGTCGCCATAACCTGAACTTTCGTGGCACCCGATCACCGAACTCAAGATTAAGCGATCACTCAAAATAGCGAAAGGGACTACTGCGCTAGGAGAGGATAATCTACCAATGCTGGTCTAGAAGAAGCTATGGGTATATTTAAAGCCCTTTATCATTAGCATCTTCAGAGCGTATATAGACTTAGGACACCACCCAAAACCATGGTGGAGCGCGAAAATTATTATTTTACGGAAACCAGGTAAACCAGATTACGCGATGCCCGGTGCTTACCGCCTAATCTCACTTTTAAACACGCTCGGGAAGCTCCTTGAGGCCGTGATGGCCCGACGGTTATCCTATCTCGTAGAGAAGCACGGCTTGCTACTAAATAGCTAGTTCGGTGGACGCCCTGGCCGAACCACCAAGTAAGTATTGCTAGTGCTGTCTAATGGGATCGACTAAGTATGGTATAAATATAAGGTGGTGACTTTAATCGCATTCGACCTTAAGGGCGCCTTCAACGGGGTAAATAGAGTGAGCCTGGATGCCTCTTTATAGGCGAAAGGGATCCTGGTGGTGGCAAGAAAATGGATCGCGAGCTTTATGAGTGACCGGCACGCCAATATTAGATTCGACGATTTTCGGACAGAGACAGAGCTACTAGTGAATGTAGGTCTAGCGTAAGGCTCGCCACTGTCTCCTATCCTATTTGCTTTCTTTAACACCGATCTAGTCGACCAGCCCGTCGACTCCTATAGAGGCGCGTCAGTATTTATTAATGACTACTTCCGATAGCGAGTAGGCCACTTAGCCGAGGAAAATATAGCCAAAATACAGTCTGAGGATATTCCTTGTATTAAAGAGTGGGCGCGACGAACAGGATCCTGCTTCGCGGCGGAGAAAACCGAACTTATTCACCTCACCTAAAAGAGAGGGGAACACCTAGAAGGTATAATCTTCGATGGAGCTATCGTTAAGCCGTCACCCATAGCTAAATTGCTAGGGGTGGTGCTCGATCAGGGGCTTCGCTGGAAGGAACACGTTTAGTAGGCCATCAAACGCGCCACCATGACTACTATTGCTTTAAGTGGACTGCGACACTTACGCCTAGAATAAATGAGATAGCTCTACTAGGCATGCGTCACGCCTATCGTAGACTACGCATCGATAGTCTGGCATGACCCGCTCCGGGACAAGACCCACCTACGATACCTAAATATAGTATAGAGAACCGCGTTGATCCGCATTCTATCGGCATTCTAGACAGTAGCCACTGCAACATTAGAGGTAGAAGCTTATATTCTTCCTACGCATCTTCGCCTTCGCCACCGCGCGCAGCGCACCATCGTGAGGTTACATACTCTACCGCGTGACCACCCTATTTAGAGCGTATTACCACGCGCGTAGAATCGTAGAAATAATATAGGATTATACGCGCGCTTCCCTCTAGCGGAAGCGTTGAAAACCATAGATGTCGACAGGCTCAACAAACTAGAGACGATCGACCCACGACCGTTGCCGCCGTGGCGAAGGGACGCCTTCGCGGAGATTAAGCTTAAACCTAACCAGGAAATGGCGAGAGATAGGGCAGAGTCCGCAAAGGACACGGCAGACGTTATCGTTTACTCAGACGCCTCCGGCCGCGAGGGCCACCTAGGAGCTACTATTATCACACTCGACGATAATGATGAGGTGGTAGAATCTCAATAGGTCTAGGTGGGACCGATGGAACGTTGGTCAGTCCACGTAGTAGAGCTCATTAGCATCTTCTATGCGGTCAACATAGTGTTTAAGCTAGTCCACCAACGCACCAACGTCGTAAATGGAGCGTATATAACTGCAACAATCTTGTGTGATAGTAGATCAGCTTTATAAGTAATCCAGAACGCGAGAAATAGATCGGGACAATGAATTATTCATGCAATCCTCCAAACAGCCACCGAGGTTCAAGTAAAGAATATCACACTTCGCCTCCAGTGGATCCTAGGACATTATGAGAATGTCGGGAATGATGCTGCGGATCGTCGCGCGAAGGAAGCCGCGCAACCAGGCAAAACTCATTCCTTCCGACCGCTTCTATTAAGGGAGAACGCATTCGTCCGTAGCAAAATTTACGACCAATAGGGACAAGAATGGAAGACAAGTACCAAAGGTGCCCACCTGCGAAAAATTAACGGCGATCTACCGGCGCGGTATACGAGAAAGCTATACAGGAATTTACCCAGGAACCGCGCGTATCTACTGACACAGCTACGCACGGGCCACAACTGGCTATCTAGCTACCGGAAGAAGATTAGATACAGCGATGACGATCGGTGCGAGTGCGGGGCGCAGGAGACGGTCGCCTATGTGTTAATGGACTGCCCAAAGCTACGAGAGCTACGGGTGGAATTAAGAGGGAAGGTTAGAGACGCGCTGAACAGCGTGTCGAGTCTGCTAGGAGGCTCCAACGAAGGTGAGAAAGGTAAACCAGACACCGTCTCAAGGGCGAAGACGGTCCAGGCCGTATTGGACTTCGCCGAGGCGTCTCAGCGGTTTCGCAGTCGTGCGCCATGAGGGCAGCCTAACAATAGAAGCGGCAATGGGCCACGATAGGCCGTGACGAGGCTCTAAGTTCCTGTCAGGAAGTGGATCACCCTACATATATATAATTGAAGATATATAGTTGTTGTATCCTGCATATCGTTCGCGAGGGGACAGGGTAAATGAAATCTACTACTACTACTACTTCCTGTAACCAGAATCCAAAGCTTGATTTTGTAGTCTTATGTTGTCTACTCGCGTGTCAAGAAGTCAATCTTTTCCATCTAATTGATACCTAGAATTTAGATCTGCCCCTCCTATAATTGAGTACCGATTTGAACACCATAGGCATAACGTCATTATAGACTTGATGTTCACGAAATTTTTGAAGAGAATGACAAGATGAAGCAAGTTCCAAGCGGCCTTGCACAGCAGATGGTTCTCGAATTTGATCTTAGGAAAGGCATTTTCAAGCTAGCTATGTTTCAATAGATTGAAATTCAGCAAATAAATCACTCCTTTTTCATGGCTTCTAGATATAATTTGCTGGCGCTCAATATTGTTTCTTGGCGGTCTAGTATAGATTGGGATGTTTATTGTTCACGGGATCAATTGTTAAGCTAACCTTCTGTAGGTTTGGGCGAACATTTATATGAAATAGTAATATCACTTTTCGCTTTTCATCGTACTGTCGTAACTATATATTTGTCGCTAATACTCATTAATAAGGAGGCCTTCGTCCAAAGTTGCCGCCATAGAAAGACTTTGCCTCATTCCAAGACTAGATAGACTTCTCATAATTCTACCTCCCAGGGTCGATATTTTCTCATTCTATTTTCTCGATTCATCGCAGCCTGCATTAATGGCTCCAGGAATGAACCGTGTAAAGCAAGAACAGCTACGCAAGCGTCGCAACAATCTATTACGACGCCATAACGACTTTTGGCGTCTATACTCCATTCGGAGCTGGCTGATAATGGAGATGCCAAATGGGAGAATTTACACCTACCATTCACACCCAGAGATTGCAGCACCAACCAAAGAAGAGATTGTAAGGACCGCATGTTAGGATGAAAGATCGGGTAATTCTAATGTGTATAGAAAAACCGTCCGCACCCTGCAGTCCATAAGACACCTGTTGACTATGTTCCACATTCTCCCATCAAATTGATGATTCCAGAAGCCCCTATATTTTCCTTTCCCACAGGCTGCAACGATATAACTAGTCTTTTTGATGGCTTTGCATGAAATAAATACTTAAGTGGCAGGAGTGTCACCGATAGCTAGGTAACCTTTCGTAAATGGATTTACCGCTGCAATCTCTCATTTCTTGATCCTTTGTTTCTCTGCGCCATTACAGTATGCACGTCTGAGTATGTCTTTTGGCAAGTGATAAATGAAAAACTTTGACAAGATCGGACCCCATGCTGGCTGAAGCTATTGCAACAGGAGGTAGGAGACAAGAAAAGGGGGACGATCCTTTGCGGTTTTACACAATATCAAACACCCGCTTGCTGGCTTTCATCGAGATGCCTGCGGGCAACACCAACACTATATATTATGAAAGCAAGATCTAGAAATTATGTAGAATGCGATGTGCTCTCTTCTCCCTGATTTGTGGCATGTTGCTGTAGATACTGTCCGGATACTGATCAATAGATGAGTTAAAGGTCTACTCAACATCATATTGCGAATAGAATTACAGCTGAAATCCAGTATATGCAAAGGCCCTCGAGGTCACACATATGAACTAGATGGCACGATTAAGATAACAAGTATGTTATAAATTGTCTTCTAGTATGCAAGGTATAGATCCGAAACCACTGGCCCAGATGGAAGTATTCTTGATATTTATTCTTGTGCCCTTATATTGGAAATCTCCAGTATCAACCAGAAAAGCATATCAGAAGATAAACATTGAAATGACCTGACCCCCCTGTCAGTTGGTAGCATCATCAAGTCTTGGATTCTTTGAGCGTAGATGTTATTGTCAGACTCACAAAGTATCATGAGACATGCCTCTATCATTATTTCTCCACCCCATGTGGAGATAGTTGCCCCGGCTCGCCCAGGTTTGCCATCTTGTCATCCTTGATTATTTTCCCCAACTTGAAAAGCTTATACCAAACAAAGAGCGCCAGAGATATCAAAAAGGTGATACCTGTGATAAGAAAAGTCATGATAGCCATTATTGAACATTCACCAGACTGAGAGGTCACTACGTTGACCGTGGTGCTCAGTAATCCGGTAACGGCATTCATCAGAGCTGGCCTGATATTTCATTTAATTAATAGTAACAATTCCTGTTCTTAAAGACTTACATAAAGATTCGGTTAATTAGCCACGGATAGCTATACCTGAAGCTGATGAAAAGCCATGCCAAAGTTATGGCTCCAATGGCAAAGAAAAGGCAGGCTATCACCAACAATGGAGGGTTTTGTATGGTGCTCAACAGCATACGCCCCGCATAATTACCTTTCAATGACTGTTTCAATTCATCCGAATCTTCTAAAGATGTAAAAGTGCCCGGTACGACCAGATACCCGGCAAGTAGCGCCCAATTGGCAGCACTCGCATAGATATTATATGTCCACTTCATTTGAGCTTCTTGTCTCAACAATTTCGTGTACAATGTACCCTGCTCAGAGTCATCATACCCTAGCCTGTCTAGATAATGTTTTTCGACTGTAACAAGCTTCCGGATAGTTTTGAAAATCTGCTCCATGACAAACAGTGCCAAAGGACAATTTTAAACATATGGACGGGAAGAATTCGAAACTTTCAGTATACAGGCTAGTTAGCTTGTCTATATACTATGGAATTCGAACGATTTACCGTGGAGAGCTACCATTCGAAACAAATCAACCCGGGCGTAATCAATTTACGTCTCCATCAGAAAGAAATTTGAAATGAGCACTCAATGGCCCGCCTAATAATATTCACATGACTTATCTGGACTTATTTTCTTGACTTCCGAAGAAGAGATTAAATTTTTTCCTCGTAGTCTACCTCTAGCTTAGTGGCCATTCAAATCTGCGAATGAATGGAGAAAAACACGGCATGCATTTTCACTTGTTACATTAGTCCAGCCGTGGAAAAGTTACTATACTATTAAGCGTTTGCTGGAATATTTAAAAGCCACTATTGCCCTAGACATTCATCGCAATTGTATCCCATACCACACATGGCAGCTTGGCTAGATCTGGTGTCAGAAGCTACAGGCTGGACACTGGTCGATACGGGCCGGTTAGAGAGCCTGGTCCAGGGCATGAGCCATCCTGAAAGCCAATATCCCTCGCTTCTCTACTTCGCAGGAAATGCGTCTCGCGTCAAAGCACTCCAGGCGTTATTTCCGCACAATAACATCACTCGCAGAGGCCCAGCTGGCTTTACAAGACTACATCTTAGTACAGAAACAGCTAATTCTCAACATCCTGTCCTTTTCGCAGAAGGCAGCTTACGTAGGGATTCTGGGCAGGGTGAATCAAGTCTATGCCCTTGGCCAACTGAAAAACTTCAAATTTATCCAATCGTCCCAAGCAGAAAATCAACTATCGCAGACATACAGTGTCATGTGCTATCTAAACTTATCCTGCCATGGACGCAAGTTCTATGTTACTTTGTAGATACCACTGCAGATTTATATAAAATACGCCAGCTGCTTACAATTCCTCGTCGCAAAGCGAGGATTGGATCTCAACCCATTCCGGATTTCTTGCGTGTCATTGTTGTTTTGATCGGAAATCAACAGGATGCGGACTACAATGCCGCATTCAAAGAATTGGTCCTTTATTCAGAGATGGAAACGGAACTGGATGTCACGTTTATGGACCTACGAAAGCGCCACGAGCTATCTCCAGCAGCAGCATTTGAACCACTGCGTCGTGCCATTCTGGACCATACAAGTGCCATCCAAAAGCAACAAATCGACCAAGGCTTCGCATATTCTGCCCAGCATATATGTAAATTCTGGAGACGAACACTTGAGCTGGAAATGAGAAGATTGGAGGACTCATCATTAGACTGCCTCGGGGTCGCGCGAGAAAATGATGAACTGAACTCAGTGAAGACAGATCACATAGTGAGTTTTCTACAAGAGACATCCGACTCTGAATGCGATAAAAACGATATCCATGCATTCATCGCATCTGCGCTTCTAATGAACGCTTACCCTCCAAATATGCACCGTATGTTTTCTCTGTATCTTTTTGTACCAAAAGACAAAAACGTTCAGCGCTAATGAGGTCATTATAAAGTGTTCCACCCAGCTTATGTGTTTAGTGAACTTTATGAGCATCAACTATTAGAGGCTTGGAGGGCCCAAGCAAACGCCCACCCAGGAACTAGCAGTGATGCAGTTCTAACTTATATGAAGCATTTCTTTGACCAGATGAGTCCAAGAAATCCCTCCGCAATTATCAGAAAAGCCGCGCTTGCGAAGTATTTCCACCGGTATGGAGGATTATACTCAACTACCTCCTGCTTTTTATGTCTCTGCAGACATCCTGAGCATATGATGCCATGTCATCATGCAATTTGCGACACCTGTGCCGTCATATTTGGGCGGCCGAGTAGAAGTGCTGAGTATCACTTTGATATCGAGGAGTGCCCATTATGCCTCCAGAGTTTTGACTTGACTATCCGCCAACTGCCTCCCACGAAGCGGCCTGTCATTCTCAGTTTAGATGGTGGTGGAATTCGCGGTATTGTACAACTAGGCCTTCTTCGTTCTCTGGAGAGAAGACTCGGGGGCGGAATACCACTGCCCCACGTATTTGATCTGTCGATGGGTACCAGTGTTGGTATACATATGCTCTCTCATTCTTCACCTTGTCTACTGCTGTCTCTAACTTATTCTAACGAGTTCGTTGTTTAGGGGCCATAAATTTAATGGATTTAGTCTTTAACAAGGCTTCTGCGGAGCAGAGTTTCCAAAGGTTTCCACAATTTGCACAGGAAATATTTGGCTCAACGAGCGCCTTTAAGGAGCTTTCTATTTTCAAATATTTTTCCTGGGTAGGATACATCGTTGGGTTTCTGGCTGACTGTCAATACGATGGAAAGAACCTGGAAGAAATATTAAAGAAAGCTCTGGGCCTGAACCGTCGAATGTTTGATGTGGGAACTACCCCGTGCACGGACTGCCGAGTTGCTGTTATCACAAGTCGAACATCCGACGGCAAAGCATGTTTACTAGCGAACTACAGAGGCGTCGGTGTTCGTTGTAATGAATCAGCGTACCAGTTTCTCCTGCCCCAAGGTCATGATCAGAACCCTTTGTTATGGGAAACGTGAGTCAAACCATTGATTTCCAGCCCGTCGGGTCATTCCTACCCTTCTATCGATTCTTTCGGTCCTTAGATATTGCTTGAATATCCACGCGCTATTTTTGCACCTGAACAACTAATGCCTCAAACTATTAGAGCTAGATGCAGTGTTGCGGCTCCTTGGTAAGATATTCAGGATGGCCTTTAAGAGCCCATATTAATGTATTGCAGCTTCTTCAAGACGAAGACACTCCCCGGGTTCGGCCCATTACAGGATGGTGGCGTGCGGGCAAATAATCCATTGGCTATCGCTTTAAAGGAGTCTCAGATAATCTGGCCCAAGGCAGGGAAGCACGACCTTCTTGTCTCGGTTGGTACAGGGTCAAAAGTTTCGGAAGAAACAGTCGCTGCAAGTACTTCTAGAAGCTCATTACGAGATAGTGCTGTTCCTCGTTTGATTCGAGCAGCTATGGCGTCTCCGTCCATGGATGGCGAGCAAGGCTTTTTTGAGGCGCTAAATTATATCCCGGACCACATGAGAGCTGATATTCATCGACTGGATCATGCCTTATCCCACAGTTTGCCTAGATTAGACGACGTAAAGAAGGTGGCGGATCTGGCGGGGTCAATTTTCAGCGTCCCTGATAATCTGGTACACGCTATATTGGTAACGGGCTTCCTCTTCTTTGAGATTGATCAACCCCCACTTTTGAAACAAGGCGCATTTTCTTGTCAAGGATCAATCCTTTGCAAAAGTTCCAACGCTAGATCTGTGATCAATGGGGTGAGAAGAGAATTTCCGGGGGCTAGTTATCAAACCACACGTGGCTATCATCTTGGCCTTCTCGACGAAGATGATGGGTGCTGTGAGTGTGGTTACTTTCGGAAGAAAGTAAAATTTACTGTCAACAGTTTGGACGAAGTTTTCACGATTGAAGTTGCCACTTCTTCCGCTAAGCAGAAAGTTGGTGGTTTCCCAACATCAGTACAAGAGATTCTTCGTAATCAGCGAGCAAATAATTGTTTTGGCCATGCTGATCACTCGATCCCTTCGTGGCCACGACGAAGGACTTGTTTTTGCTTCCGCGGAACAACTCGTCTCGTCCAATTGACAGAACCGCCACTCAGTAGGAAAAAGCGGCGACTCGATGGGTGAACCAAGGTCTTTTCTATTACAAACTTAGTGCTCTGAGAGCACATCTTGACATTTGCGCTATTCTTGATATTCTGGTTGCGATTTTGATAGACCAATGAAAAGAAACACAGTTTTTCTGAGATCTGCTGTCACCACTTATGCTCTTTTCGTACTTCGTTTCTACGAATGATACGAAACGCGAACCATACTTCCTCGTTATTTCTAATGATCCTGGCTTGCAGACATGGTGCCTCAATTACCGTATAATGAGGATAGATTGATTTATATATACGCGTTACTCGATATCTTCTAATTCAAAGATTGTGAATGACCTGTGAACCATCACTATATAGTAAAGTAGAGGGTGCATGGGCCCAGGCATTCTTGAGTGACCCTAATGGTCATGGAGTTCTCAGTTTCATTAATAAGGCCTTTCCTTTCTCAAGCAACCTGAATGCAGCACGAAGACCAACTGAGTCATTTTTCAGGCCAACGGCCAGCTCAAGCGCTTCTCATTCGGAAATTGAGCTATAAACTATATCTTCAAGATGCCGTCTAGATCTTCGAGCAAACCTCACTGATTGATTGCTTGTTGTCAAATACCTCCATAGCTTTCATATCCATATATCTACAATTTTACATCCATTCGGAATTTCTCCCAATCGACGAGGCGTTTTAGTCAAATAGAAATTTGTCAGCCAGAACTAGGCAGCAACACACAGAAACTGTTTGCTAACTTGTATGCATTGGAAATGTCATACTGTTACCAACCCGCGAGACTCCCCCATTGGTCGATCACCTTCCCATCTGATCAAGTGCGTCGATACTATTGCTGTCTTACATGAGACTTTCGATATCACTATTGATAGCCGGAAGCTCAAAACTATTATGACCACAAAGAAGGTAGTCCAAAGACCCTTCAAGGCATTGATACGAACCCGGTCTTTTTAAGGTTCATACCAGGGAAAGTTATGGGTTAACAGGTCCTTGTCCACCTAATGTCGCCTCTTGGTAGTCATACCTTTCTTGGTTTCCTTCATTGAGTAGTTTCGCACAATAATCAGCCACATATGAGTCTTATCACTGGATTTTGTTTAATTTACAATAGCCATTCTATATTTAGTAAAAGAAATTTGGCTCGGCTAACCACACACCCCAGGTTCATCTCTCACCTGGAGTGCGTTGTATTTTATTATGATTTCAACAATCCTTTTTCAGGCCTGAAATTGGCATCCCGTGCCTTAGAGAACCTAACAGTTAATGTTACTTAAAATAACAAAGAATAATTTTACAATTGCGGGTTTGCGAGGTTGCTCTTTGCATCCATAACAACCCTAGAAATGAGAGTGAGCTGGACAAATTTTCGAAAGCCATCCGTGAAGTATGGTTAACCCACAAAATGATGGTACGATCATCGATATTATCATCTTAAATCAGCTTTCGGATAATGCCGCGGTCTATTCCCATCTTAAAATTAGTCTTATTTTTAACATCCCTTTCCATTCCTTACTATGTAATAAGACTATGGTATCAAAATACTGAGGTGCCGATTGTCTTTGTCCGAAAGGTCAATTTTCAGGATAACGGAAAACCTCTTGCGAAGGTCTTCAAGATCGCCTCCGTTTGCTCCAGGAAGCCCCGTGTAACTAGCTGCCTGCCAAAGTTGTACTACTCGTGCACGTTATCTAGTCATGATACCGGCTTCATCAAATAAGTCCTTAAGCTATACTACTGCTGCGCGGAAAGCATTGCAGGATTATTCATATTCCGAGGCTCACCCATCTCTAGGCTGGAGGAATAAGCACTAAGACTAAGTAACGTAACCGGTAAGCGAGCTGCGCATGTAAGCGAGCTGCGCACCCCATTAAAAACGCGTGGATTAAACTAGAATAATTCAACCACAACTCCATAATATTGAATATCTAAGCTATTTAGCCTAATTTAGACAATGTGTTATTTTATGCCCCTGAATTCCACATTTAGAGCACTTTAGTGGAGCTCGCCGTCGTGGTTCTTGACCTTGATTCTGACCGGTTGGCTGGCTATCTTAAGGTTGATTTTAAGGAATTATAGCGAGTTGAGCTATTTAAGAGAGCTTACCAGCGCATAGACCTTTAGACTGGACGATCTACTGCCTTAAACGACGTTTTTTCCCCTTTTGTTTCTCGTGCGCGGCACGTAAATCATGATTTTCTTGCGCTAGAATAGCCGTATTTTACATAGTAATTTCACAACCTTTAATAAGCTGTTTTAGAGCACGACTTGATGGAGTTTATGGTATTTGAACGCTTTATAAGCTTAGCTTGTCGACGAAGCTGTTTAAGCGTTATTGGCGTTTTTGGCGTATAATTTCGACTTGAATCGCTTCCACGGCTCGCGGGTGGTAGTGTAGGAGTTTGAAGTTGAATATTTAGCTTAGAAATAACTCGATTTGGATCGTATGGTACTAAACTAGTAGCTGCGAAGCTATTTTTGATGATATCTAGTTTAAATGCCTCGTTTCGAGCGGGAAACGCATCGAGGAAGTTAAGCTTATTAACGTGGTTAAAACTAAGTCGTATCCGCGTTTTAATAAGTCGACTATACGCGCGTTTTAAAACAGCAAAATAACTAATATTAAGAGGTTGTAAAAGATGTGATGAGTGCGTAGGTATATAAATTGGAATCACGTTATTTTGATTATAAAGTTGATTAGATTTTGGAGTTAAATGACTTCTATGACCATCAAGAATAAGAAGTCGATATTTCCCTTTCCTCCTTGAAAAGGTTGAAGGAAGAAAGACTTTCGCTAGCTAACGAAGTCCGATTTCGTCGGATGTCTATCTATTTGGACTGACTTTAAAGTGCTAATCTTTTGGAACTCTATCCGCCCAATTAGCGATAAAATGCTTCCCCTTGAAAATGACTATTAGAGGAAGGCTAAATCTAGACGCGCCTATACACTCGATTGAGGTTACCCACTCGCGATTTCTAGGCTGTAAAAGAGCGCGCCGACCGTAATATTCCGCTCTTGTTATAACCTTCGCGGTCGCGATTAACCCTATCGCGAAACTAGTCTCGTCAAAGTTGTATATATCGTCTAGGTTAATCCCGTTCTCATCGACTGTTTTTTTAACTAGATTAAACCACTCTTGAACCATTTTTGGATCCTCGCATTTCGCACGCTTATAATTATAACGTCTTGAGAATCGGGTAGAGAGGTTAGGGTGTCGATCCACATAATTATATACCTATTTTTCGCTAACGGTGATAGATGGTATCGTGCCTCGAGCGGCGAGGAGAAGGTTCGCGGTCTCTCGGACAGTAGTAGGTCTTGGAGCTGCTCCACGTATATCAAGAGATATAATCCAATTTTCAAGCGTCTCTTCTTCTAATTTTGTCAATTTGAATGAATTTGCGCGTGTTTCTGCTCGATATGTGACGCCGCGGAGACGCGCACGAAGCGTGGACTCGGGCACGTTAAATATACGTGCTGCCTCGCGATTTGATAGATTTTCCTGCTTTTGAATAGCCTGGATAGCAAGTAAGAGCCGACCTTCTTGTTCCGTCGATTTTTGACGATTTTGAGAGCGAATTGGGGGCATGGTGGGTGGTTAGAGATAGACGGTCTAATTAATCTATGCGTTTTTGATGGGGTGCGCAGCTCGCTTACATGCGCAGCTCGCTTACCGGTTAAGTTACGTTAGTTCAAGCACTTTGTATTACGTAATTATGGAACTAATCAGGATTTTCATTGTTTTGTGTGCAATCGCAATCGAATGTGTTTGGGTGGTCTCACAATCTTATGAAATTGGGGTCCCACCAGAAAAACAAGCGCATTAAAATAAGCGACTAAGGAGTAAAATTCTTATTCAAAGATTTGAGTGGACATCGACTAAGGACGGGGCCTCTAGATGCCACGCGATGGGAAACTTATTCTTGCATCTTAACTCACCAGCGTACCCTTATAAAGTCAGTAAGTAACCATTCAATTTTTCTGACTCCGCACTAGCCTGAAAGCACCCAATGTATGTTCAGAAGCGTAAGTCTAATGATGCTAGTTCAAGTATCTACAGTCGGTCCCCGGGATCTCCGAAATATTTGGAAAATGAAATATCATTATTACCCCCACTAGCAGGACACGATCTTCCTGAAATAAACTCCCTAGATCATCAAATTGCGCTGGCACGTGGCTCAACCATGGCACTTGAGACTATGCGAACTCGCTTACGGTACTCAAAAGGAAAGAACACGCTGTCACTTCAAGAATTGAAATACGAAAAGCTCCGCCAATATGAGCAACAGAAAAATGAGAATAATTTCTACCAATCTTGCCGAGATATACTTCATGAGCTCATCGCGGCGGCCACTGAGGTCGCGGAAGACCTGACGTCACCATACGACTTTGAGCCGGGAATGATTGCTTCCAATACCGCAAAAGCTTTAGCGGGAGCTAGACTTTTACGCGGGGCTCTAGAGGATTCTCGTGTGCAGGAAGCGCGAGCAGAACATAAATGGAAACGGGAGTGGAATTCATCACGAGTTTGCAAGCCGATTGCGCGTTGGATTTGATGAGTCGGTGTCTCCGTTTGCAATAATTTGCCTAAGTATATATTTTATAATCTGTTCCAGCCACACAAACCCAAACATCATGCTCTCTTATTATGAATACATTGTTCACTGAGTTGAACACCGTAAGGGGTCTCTATGTATTAGAGGTTTGAAAAATTTAGTATTATGCTGGTATTAGCACCAAAGTGGCAGAGGATTCCAATTTTTCCTGTTTTATTAGAGTGTCTGAAAAAGAGATAATATACTAGGCGATTCGCGACTTGGTATAATCATTTTGCTGCACTACCAAGCTTGAATCCACTTTGAGGGCTCTCTAGAATTCCTTCTACAAATCGCTATTCCTAGGATGATCAAGTCTACTGCAGGCTCTTTCTGGTAGCTCTCATCCTATTTGACACCCCTATACGAGCTAAGAGGTTAGACCATGAGGTTTCACATGGGCGTGGAAAATCAAAGGATTCTGGTCTCATTTCCCATAGGACTACGCACCTTGGTCGAGGAGTATGAACAGCCAAATGAAATGAACTAGCGAAATTGATAAAAAGTAGACCTGATGCACAGAGCGGCTATTCAGGAAGGACTATAACGACAGAAGAACTTGGGAGTGAGGTCTTAGACCATGCAGACCGTTCAGGACAATATGCAGAGCAATATCTATATAATATGGATGCCGAGTTACCAATTGTGCACCTCATCAGAAGAGTGGGTAGAAAATAGAATCTAAGAAGAAATATGTTTTCTTGTTTGATTTCTTGCTTAAATTGACGGAGCGCGTTTCTTTAAAAAATAAAGATTTGTTGTTTAAACGCGTAGTAAAGTGGCACAAATTGCAGTACACGGGCAGCACAGAACATTAAATTGACGTTTCCCAATTTCCCTGGAACAATCCAATACTGTATCTCATTTCAGCTGCGTCTCGTTCTGAGGCTCGGCCGTGGGGAGCGGACAGTAATCCCAGGCTCCGAGGACGGCCATTATGCCCTTCCGGACATTCTCAAACCCTTGTTCAGAGACTGCTAGGAATTCTTCCTGGGTGGCGTGCTGGCGCTCCAGAATTTGTAATTCTTGACATAGATGAATATTCGATGCACGGAGTATCTCATTCTCCTTCGAAATACGGTTCACATCTGCCTTTTTCGCAATGTAACACTCCCACAGCGACGAGTATAGCTTCAAAATTCCCGTGACATGGTCCACACCTTGAGTGTCATTTAGCAGCCCCAGTTCATCGATAAGCGATTGGAATGGATCTGGCGATGGTGTTGTTTGATGATCGAGGCATGATATATCGGGCGCCTGATGTGGATAAGTCATCAACCGCTGTAGGTCGGCTGGCACATACATACCGGCCATTCTTGCACGTCCTGATCAATAGAATGATTGGAGAGTAGATCCTCGCTTTCCAGTGGCGTGTACGGTGGTTCAGACAGGGCGTCATCCATCTCGGACACGTGCTCGTGATTGGGACTATTCATTTCCATCGACGTACCAGCGAAAGGCGGCGCCACAGGTGATTTGTTCTAGATATCTAGCACAATTTATACCAGATCTTATTCAATGGGGAAGACAAATGCTCAATCTTTGAACTAGGTAACTTTTTTTTTTAAAAAAAAGCACTTTGTATAATTTTGGTCTTTTAATTCGTGGAAGAAAAATCACACAACACCAGCTTTTGCTCTTGAGTAATTTGCGGGGGTCATTCTCACTCAAAATATGCGATTATTTCTCCTTCCTAGACCCTAACAAAAACTTGGTCTTCATTTTGACTGGTACCATTGATCTAACAGCGAGGGTTCTCACTAGACCCGACATTGCTAATTGAATGAATTTCAGTGGCCCGCAGATTTTCACGGGTGGCGTAAAATGAACCTATCTTTAATTTTAAGATCCTAAGAACTGGGTGTGATATTACTATATGGCATCGAAAAGTTTGCTACGAATAGGCAATGATACTGAATCAGTCATCTTGTGTCCCCTCTTTGACCATCCCGAAGGTTAGATCTCGATGAGCGATTCAGACGGCAATACGTATATTTATTACCTCACGGACCCTGGTACAGGAAGTAGTAGTAGTAGTAGATTTCATTTACCCTGTCCCCTCGCGAACGATATGCAGGATACAACAACTATATATCTTCAATTATATACATGTAGGGTGATCCACTTCCTGACAGGAACTTAGAGCCTCGTTACGGCCTATCGTGGCCCATTGCCGCTTCCATTGTTAGGCTGCCCTCATGGCGCACGACTGCGAAACCGCTGAGACGCCTCGGCGAAGTCCAATACGGCCTGGACCGTCTTCGCCCTTGAGACGGTGTCTGGTTTACCTTTCTCACCTTCGTTGGAGCCTCCTAGCAGACTCGACACGCTGTTCAGCGCGTCTCTAACCTTCCCTCTCAATTCCACCCGTAGCTCTCGTAGCTTTGGGCAGTCCATTAATACATGGGCGACCGTCTCCTGCGCCCCGCACTCGCACCGATCGTCATCGCTGTATCTAATCTTCTTCCGGTAGCTAGATAGCCAGTTGTGGCCCGTGCGTAGCTGTGTCAGTAGATACGCGCGGTTCCTGGGTAAATTCCTGTATAGCTTTCTCGTATACCGCGCCGGTAGATCGCCGTTAATTTTTCGCAGGTGGGCACCTTTGGTACTTGTCTTCCATTCTTGTCCCTATTGGTCGTAAATTTTGCTACGGACGAATGCGTTCTCCCTTAATAGAAGCGGTCGGAAGGAATGAGTTTTGCCTGGTTGCGCGGCTTCCTTCGCGCGACGATCCGCAGCATCATTCCCGACATTCTCATAATGTCCTAGGATCCACTGGAGGCGAAGTGTGATATTCTTTACTTGAACCTCGGTGGCTGTTTGGAGGATTGCATGAATAATTCATTGTCCCGATCTATTTCTCGCGTTCTGGATTACTTATAAAGCTGATCTACTATCACACAAGATTGTTGCAGTTATATACGCTCCATTTACGACGTTGGTGCGTTGGTGGACTAGCTTAAACACTATGTTGACCGCATAGAAGATGCTAATGAGCTCTACTACGTGGACTGACCAACGTTCCATCGGTCCCACCTAGACCTATTGAGATTCTACCACCTCATCATTATCGTCGAGTGTGATAATAGTAGCTCCTAGGTGGCCCTCGCGGCCGGAGGCGTCTGAGTAAACGATAACGTCTGCCGTGTCCTTTGCGGACTCTGCCCTGTCTCTCGCCATTTCCCGGTCGGGTTCAAGCTTAATCTCCGCGAAGGCGTCCCTTCGCCACGGCGGCAACGGTCGTGGGTCGATTGTCTCTAGTTCGTTGAGCCTGTTGACATCTATGGTTTTCAACGCTTCCGCTAGAGGGAAGCGCGCGTATAATCCTATATTGTTTCTACGATTCTGCGCGCGTGGTAATACGCTCTAAATAGGGTGGTCACGCGGTAGAGTATGTAACCTCACGATGGTGCGCTACGCGCGGTGGCGAAGGCGAAGATGCGTAGGAAGAATATGAGCTTCCACCTCTAATGTTGCGGTAGCTACTGTCTAGAATGCCGATAGAATGCGGATCAACGCGGTTCTCTGTACTATGTTTAGGTGTCGTAGGTGGGTCTTGTCCTGGAGCGGGTCATGCCAGACTGTCGATGCGTAGTCTACGATAGGCGTGACGCATGCCTAGTAGAGCTATCTTATTTATTCTGGGCGTAAGTGTCGCAGTCCACTTAAAGTAATAGTGGTTATGGTGGCGCGTTTGATGGCCTACTAAACGTGTTCCTTCTAGCGAAGCCCTTGATTGAGTACCACCCCTAGTAATTTAGCTATGGGTGACGGCTTGACGATAGCTCCATCGAAGATTACACCTTCTAGGTGTTCCCCTCTCTTTCGGGTGAGGTGAATGAGTTCGGTTTTCTCCGCCGCGAAGCAGGATCCTGTTCGTCGCGCCCACTCTTTAATACGAGGAATATCCTCAGACTGTATTTTGGCTATATTTTCCTCGGCTAAGTGGCCCACTCGCCATTGGAAGTAGTCGTTAATAAATACCGACGCGCCTCCATGGGAGTCGATGGGCTGGTCGACTAGATCAGCGTTAAAGAAAGCAAATAGGATAGGAGACAGTGGCGAGCCTTACGCTAGACCTACATTTACTAGTAGCTCTATCTCTATCCAAAAATCGTTGAATCTAATGTTGGCGTGCTGGTCACTTATGAAGCTCGCGATCCATTTTCTTGCCACCACCAGGATCCCTTTCGCCTATAAAGAGGTATCTAGGCTCACTCTATTTACCCCGTTGAAGGCGCCCTTAAGGTCGAATGCGATTAAAGTCACTACCTTATGTTTATACCATGCTTGGTCGACCGCATTGGACAGTACCAGCAATACTTACTCAGTAGTTCGGCCAGGGCGTCCACCGAACTAGCTATTCGGTAGCAAGCCGTGCTTCTCTACGAGATAGGATAACCGTCGGGCTATCACGGCCTCGAGGAGCTTCCCGAGCGTGTTCAAAAGTAAGATTAGGCGGTAAGCACCAGGCATCGCGTAATCTAGTTTGCCCGGTTTCCATAAAACAATAATTTTCGCGCTCCGCTATGGTTTTGGGTGGTGTCCTAAGTCTATACACGCTCTAAAGATGCTAATGATAAAGGGCTTTAAATATACCTATAGCTTCTTCTAGACCAGCATCGGTAGATTATCCTCTCCTGGCGTAGTGGTCCCTTTCGCTGTTTTAAGTGATCGCTTAATCTCGAGTTTAGTGATCGGGTGCCACGAAAGTTCAGGTTATGGCGACGCTGGTAGGCTAAGATCGGGTGTGTTCATTGCGGGAAAGAACGCTTCAAGAAAGGCCCTTGCTTTGTCTTTGTTCTGGGTGAGCTCTTATGAGCCCACCTTTAGGGCCGGGGTGCACCCCTATGTTTCTCGAGGCTTCATGTAGGTCGCAGCTTTCCAGAGCTTCCCTTCGCCCGCCTTATCTAAAAATTGTTTCTAATATGACGCTTTAGCCTTTTCGATTGTTTGAGTCTATGCTCGGCGCTTAGTTTGCATGGTCTGAAAGGTAGTAGTGGTGCTAGTATGGTCTCGTCTAAGCTCCGCGTAGCTCGCCTGCCATCTTCTACGTAGTTAATTGACTTCGACTTATTAAACCTTGAGATCTGGTGTGAACCACCGCTTAGAGTATGGGGCTGGGTAAGTGTCGGGCGTGAACTGGTCGACTACCTGAGCTGTCGTAGCTGTGAGCTTCTCCATAACCTGGTCGAGTGTTGGCCGGGTCTTGATATCCTTCTAGGGGCTCATCTTCCGAGCTACCTCCTCGCCGATTCTGGCCTAGTCCGCGCGCTTATACGCTTTTCTCACTTTGTTGTTTGGCTTGCTGTGGGGTTGAATATTCCATTCCGAGTACGTGGCATGGTGGTTGGATCCGTAGTTCTCGTGATATAGATGGCACTTGACAAGCCGTTCCGGTTTGTCTGTCACTGTTAAGTCGATAGTCGAATTTTGGCCCGGGTTGTTTAAGGCCCAGTAAGTCGCTGTGCCTCGGGGGAGGTAGCTATGGAGGTTGTGGGTTTGGAGAAAGTCGATCAGGTCGCTGGCATCCTCGATGAATTTGGGCGGGATGTGGTTGCCGCCCCATAATAGGTGATGTCGGTTGAAGTCTCCAGATAGAATGATGCTTGTCGGCCGCTGCTCGTTTTGCACTATGGCTGTGATAGTGTTTTGTATTACTGTAAGGGCTAGTAATGCTGACTGATCGTCGCCCATGAAAAGCGGTGCTGGAGGTATGTAGACCAAAAAGAGAAGGATCTGGGAGTCGGCTATCTAGATCTGAATGGCTGCGACATCTGGGTGGTCGCAAGGTATCTAGCGGTGTGAGGAGGTAGAGATTCGTCTATTTACGTAGACCAAGCTGCGGAAGCGAACTATATCGGTCTGCGTGGTAGGTCGGTAGAGTCTCTAGGCGCTGTGGTTGATATGTGTGCGGTATGTAGTAATAGATGGCTCTTGAATCAAAAGGACGTCTAGGTCTTAGCTCTGGGGATCATTAATCAGTGCTTCTATTCTTGGTCCTGATTTCATCATGTTCAACTGTAGGACGCGGAGATTTCTCTCTAGCATCTGGTCGGGTTGAAGGTCGCTGGTGTTCGGCACTGTCGATTACTAGTTAGGTATTCATCGCTATAATTAAGGCACCGAGCTCTCACTCCTAGTGGGCAACGCTCCCGTTCGTGTTAGCCTGCGTAGTGTCTATATCGTGGTATTTCCTTACACGACCATGCTAAATATCTAAACCGTTGGCACCGGAGATACCTTTTTTCCTTGATTTCGCGGTGTACCACTTTGGGGATGAAGTGTCCGTTGATAAGAAATCCGTTCCGAAGCATATGTTCCGCTCCTTCTGGTGAGTCGAACCAGATTCCGAGGGAGGCGAATTTCCCTAACGGTTTATCCTTTGCCTTTATCTAGGCCA